TATATGCCAAGAGCTATACAAGACAACAAATAACAAAAATCAGCCAAAGACAGCAAGGATTCTTTAAATAAAATTTAGAAAACCTTTAGAAAGAAAGGAAAATTATACATGCAAAAGCCATAAGTTGCACCTCTTCATTCAATATTTGATAATCAAAAAGCTAATAATTAAAACTGGGAGGGTTAGGTCGGTCAAGTTTTACAGCTGAGCGCACTCCCTGAGCATGCCCAAATCAACACTTATGAGATTCATTTAAAAGCTCTTCAAATTCTGAATCTCCAAGGTTTATGCTGCCTGTGCATTGTTTGCATAATGCAGTTTTGTACGACTAAAGCACTATAAAGGGATTATTTTCATATTCAGCATATGAAAGGTACAGCACAATTCATAGATACCGTATTGTGCTTATGCCTGAGATAGCAGGTACAGTGTCTCGCCTTCTGATTATCTACGAAGCAAATGTAGAAACATACATGTTTTTTGGAGAGAGTGTATCCTTAGTAAAATTAATTCCCCAATGGTTTTATTAAAGTCTGCAAATTGCATTATTTTCCCATCATATTTGAAATATTGCACTTCCTTAATGCTTGCTCTAACCCATGGCATGCCATCTTCCCTGGGGTGTCTAGACATGGTGTCTTAGATTTATGTGTATGATCTCAGTGTGTTACAACATCACTCCTGACTAATGCATTATTACAATACTTACATATATTCCCAAGTGTCACTGTTTTGATTAAAAAATCACCAATCTGCATATGCACACCATCTGTGCTTCAGAGAAGCAAAACATGCAGGATAACATTTGCCTTACTCAAAACGGAATTCAGATACTAATAAAAAACAAATGGGAACCTATTTTTATGTTTTGCTTTGTAAAATAACAAAGAAAATTAATACTGTTTCTGTAAAACAACAGTCCATGCCTCTCACACTTAAAAACATAAGCCTTTTTTCCTCTACACAGTAAGGAGATTCACCTTTAGTAACAACATGCAAACAATTTGCCCTTTTAGAGATAGCAAAAAACATGGGAAGGAAATGTACTGCTGCAATGAATTTAAAAAATCTCAGCTCAGAACAGGGAGTTTTCAGCAGAAGGGAATGTAGTCAGCAGCAAGTCCTTTCTCAGCTGAAAGCTGCAAGAGTGGTTGTAAAAGATGAATGAGACCCTTGCTTACTGGGGTGAAATGCTTTTAAAGGACAAGAATCTGCTTATCTTTGATTGATTGCTCAGTCTGATACTTTCCTTTATAAAGTTTATTGACTACAAGCCCATAAATCAAAGAAAAACAAATCACAGGTTCAATTTGGGGGGCATTGACATCCTGCCATCTTGCAGCAATAGCTTAGAAGTCACAGGGCAGGGAGAAGGAATATGGGGGACTCATGGAGACAGAAGTATCTACTGCAGATAAACTATCATTTAAAATTTTGAAACAATTATTCTTTTTTGCCTTATCACATTTTTAAGTCAAAGGAAAAATGCAGACAACCAAGCTACCTAGGTTATTATTTTGAAGTCCTTAAAGGCAGAATTTACAATTAAGAGATGTAATTCTCACTGTGCTCCTCCTCTGGTTCTGTGAGATTACAGTCACATACCCACACAGCCCTCACCCGCTGTAAGAATGTCACATTTACAATTTAAACTATCAAAGCAAGAATCGGATTTCTTTCAGGGGGGTTTGAGGGCTTGGGAAACTCAAAATCTGTGTACTGCAACACCTCATACAGTTGCACGTAAAGAAGGAACCAGCCATAGATCTTGCTCATATGGGGCATACAGTACAATATGACAGCATGATAATACAGATTAATTTGTGCCATTGACCTTGACGCACTATTCTATTGTGTATTCTCTTAGAGTCAGCACTCGGGTCACTAGAACATCTGGTGTTTAACAAAAAAATCCCATTCTGAAGTGCTAAATGTGTTGAAACAAATGGTACTGTACTATCATTATACAGTGCAACCTCTCTGCTAGGGGTCTAATTTCAAGGCTACCCTGACTGAACTACATTATTATTAGGGGTTTTGTAATTCACATCTTGCCACAGTACACAAAATACTGAATTATCAAAAGTAGCCTTTTAAAACCCGGTTGTGTTCCACGTGACTGGGACTGACTGTCACTTTCTTTCCATTTTATCTTTGGAGACATCTGGAAGGGCTAAGCCTGCACAGTGCTGAACAACCTGGCCTCGACCCAGCAGAACATTTCAGCATGCACAGTATGTGTATACACAGCCCCTGTGTTTCAGCAAGACATGCTTTTAGGTTATGCATATGCTAGAGCACCTTGCTGAAGGTATGGACTGGCTTCACCACACTGTTTGGAAGTTGCACAGTGCTCAGTATTGCATCTACCCCATCTTACACCCCATTACATTCAGCTTGTGCTTGAATCTATCCTAGTGCTTGTTTCTGGGAAAAGCTGATACAGCCTTTTACAAGGAGGCTGAAGATCTGAGAAATGATTGGTAGCAAAGAGTGGCAGCTTTGTTTTACAGGAGTATTTACATGTTGTTTAACATGAAGAAAAGAGCAAAGAGAGATGACTCTGCCCAGCCTCACCATCCCTCTGACACCACTGCCATCCCCGTGCCTCCCTACCACCACTCTGCTAGCTCTGCTTCCTGCAGAGATTCTCCATGTAAACAAACATAAAGGTTATTTTTGTAGGATCCTTGGGAATCCCAAAAAGCTTCCATGGGAAGGATTAAGCGTTTGCAGAGGTCTGATGACCTTTACCTGACCTGAAGCAGATTGCAACGTCAATTAGCATTTCAGCTTTCCCTGTTAGTAAGGACACACACAACCCAAGCTGGGCTCTTCCCACTGTGCTGTACATGGGCTGTGAGTCACGGTGGGCTGATTCTCCCCCGCTTCACAGATCTGCAAATTTATGTCCCAGCAAAACAAGTATAAAATGCTACTACTCTACTTTTTCACCTAATTTTCTCTTGCTCTGCAAGCATGGGCAGAAAGGAAACATACTAGTAGGCAAGTACTATGTGTTTGACAATACCAACATGCTTTTGATAAGGTGAAAAAATCCTCACTGTCAAAAGCATGGAGAATTGCTATAGGCATTTATGAACTAAAACGTGTGAGTCTCAAAGCTGACATAGGACCAATACCTTCAGCTGTGGAGAAAAAGGAAGACAGCAAAGGTGAGAATGCAGGCATATTTAAAAGAGCAAGGGATGCACGTGCTGAGCCAAGCAAAGACAGGGCAGCAGCAAGAGGCTCAAGGTCATTCAGCACAGGAAAGCAGCAGCCCAGAAAACGCCTTTGACTCACAGCAGGGCTGGAGAAGGAGGAGAAAGTATGTGTTGTGCTGTGGCTTGAGCCAAGGTGAAGTAATTTCCAGTTGTTTCAAATGAGATTTCTGCCATGAGGTCTCAGCTGATCTCCATGACAAGTTTATATATGGTTACTAAGAAAAAAAGTAAAAAAATCACAAACATGACACCACTCAATGAGAAGACAGCATTAAGCAATCAGTTGCCAAAGACCTAATCCCATTAACAACTTCTAAGATTTCAGCCATCAGTCTGTAGCTGGCAGCTACAGGAGAACTGAGTACAATGAAACATCTTTTAAACATTATTTTTTTCAGGCCATCTTCCTGATCTTTTATACTTGTTTGTTCTGCAGTTTCTTAGAAGTTACAACTGCTGAAGGAAGTAGAGAAAATCCAGAAAAAAAAAAAATAACCTGCTCTCCTACGCAGCTTCATGCCGCTGGGTCAGTGATTAACAAAGACAAGGTCCTGCTGCAGGGAAGCTAAATGGAGTTCATTATGGACATGAAAGTTAGCAGGGCCAAAAAGGTGAGACCATAGGAAAGAGGATGAAATAAGAGCCTAACAAGTGTGGATTTTACTCCTTCGGTGCAATAAGGACAGCTTTCAACTACCAACTAGTCCAGAAGAAAATCTATCTAGACAATAGTTTAAGATAGCTATTGTCCTATATACTGCAATCGTTTTGTTTTGCGTATACTCAAGAAAATTAAAATTAAAATGTGTTGCTTAAAAAATTTGTGTTGTTCTGCAACAAGAAATTTTTGATTTGAGGATTGTAATTTGGCGTTTGTCCTTTTTCCTGGAAAAATTAGGAAAATGGAAGCATTTAAGTGGAGCAGAATGATGCCATTAAACCTGGATGGGGACATCTACCTCAAACCCTCACAAATCTATGAGTTTGTTAGCCATGCTTACTGCTTGAGTGCTTTGGAAATATCAGTGCTTCCTGGGGGTGCTTCCTGGCAGCAGCAAACTGACTGGAGAAGGAAACTACAGACAGGTTGCTCCTGTGACACTGAGAGAGCCTGGAACTACAGCCAGCAGACACTGGGATATGAGCAGATTTTCTTGGCCCTGAAGGCTGTAAGCAATAGCCTGTCTCACTCACAGGTAATTTCTCACCACACACTGCACTGCTGGGTACCTGGGCAACACTAAAAGGATCAGTTCTCACAGGCTACCATATTTTCTCCCCAGAACTGGCAGTGACTAATCTCTCTTTCAGTACTTCTGCTTTAGGACATTTCCACTTTGATTTTACATTGGCACTAACCCCATCATCACTAGAGAACCTGAAGTTTTCTGCTACACCTGCCAATGTCCTGTATGACCCAAGAGCCCATATGGCTTCACCACAAACCTCCCACAGAGATGTCTTAGTAGGTGGCAGCCAAGTGGTGACATGAAGCACTGGCTACTACAGAAGTTCTTGGAAGTGGGGCTCACCTGCAAAAGGCATATGTGAGGTGGGCTAGAAAATCAAGTACATCTCCAAATAAGATATCTGATTAATCTCAAGAAATCAGAGTTATGAAAAGTAGCAAACAAAAGTCTCAATGAACCTTCAGTTCACAATAGATCAGAGGCTCTTGAAGAGGAGTGTGTAGGCAAATACCTTATGCAGAACATGTATTCCAGTAACTTCAGGGTGTAACAAAGTTTCAGGGAAACCAGAGGATGAAATGTGCTCGGAGGTCCTTGGTTCCAGGACTGTCTGACACCTAGAAAACTGTGAAGGAAAGAAAAGTGGATAAACAGCTGATCAATAGTAATATATTACTTAGCCCCTCCAAGTAACCATGTCAAGGATCTCTGCAGAGATTAGCTCTGCCAGTAATTTCACCTGCATACCAACATCTTTTTTATTTCTTTTGTCATTAGTGTTTCAATGTGGTATAAATTATTAATCATAATTCCACTTTTGCAAGGAGTGGAATTCAGACCTTTTATGAGATATTTAGGGGGTGATCTGTTGTCTAAGCAACCCTTAGAATAGGCAGGACAAATCAGATGTAAGAGTAAATTAATGTGGCATTAACTTGTTTCCAACAGCTTGTTAATGGAAACAAATTCAATAAGCATCACATCCAAGAAGGGAGAAACTGCCCCCATTTGTACTGTTGTGCAAAGCAAACCTCAAAATAAAGCAAGAGGATGGACACAAAGAGCTACTTATCATGAGCCTCCCTAAACAACTGCAGTCTCAGCAGGGAAGACAGGGATGAAATAATGCACATCTGAGTAAACCAGGCAAGAATAGAGAGGAGCCAATGGGAAAAAAATGTAAACTTTTAGTAATCATTAAGAATTTTGATTAAACTTCCTAGGACTTTAGAGCCTCATTGAGGCTGGTACACTAGTGCTCTGTGATTTAAAATTCTTAAGGATTTGGGTGAAAAATCTGTCTTGTAACAGCAAAAAAAAAAAAAAAAAAACCTAAATAAACCCAAATAATACTGAAATAATAGCAAAATAACTACCATATTGGCATATAGTGATAATCATTTTAAGAATATTGCTAAACCATGTAAGATCTTGAAAATATCATACTTTTAACTTTGCTCCCCACTGTTACATGCTCTCAGACTTGAAGAGAAAATGAAGAACCTTATTTTGCTCAGATAATAACAGTTATAAAAATAGATTAACTGTCAGTATCATGAATTAGTATCACACAAGTACAGAGGCTCAAATAATAGGTTTAGGCCATAGGCAAAGGAGCAAGAACACAAAGCTTATGCTTTGACCTGGGATAGGTTACCCACATCACCACTGCAGAAAAATGCTTGCCAAAAATGAAATTTGTATTTAATAATTCTGTGTGCTTTTTAAATCTGTATTTTGTTTTGTTCTACATGGAGATAGTTTTTGATATTAAACCATTACGCACTAGCTTCAAAAGCTGATGCTCAAGATAAAAATCTACAGCTTTTAGTTCATGCTTTCAAGTTTTTTTTTTCTTTCTCCTCCTTTTTTTTTCCTTTTTTTTTTTTTAAAAGAACCTCTGAAAGTCTAAATGATAACATGTTTCAAGTAGCTGCTCCTTTCCTGGAGTTGAACAAAATTGAAAAGATCAAAGTTAGTGCAATCTCGTTCAAAGGTGAAGAGGTGAAATCTTATGTGTGCTGGAGGATCAGAGCAAAGGAAAATGTACAATGCTTAGTGTGCGACACCTGAAGCCCACTTTCATCAAGGTACCTCATTTTCATCTGAATTCAGAATGTATTTCATTTAATGGTAAAATAAGGAACAGCATAGGATTATCTTGGTTACAAAGAAGAGAAGCCCTTGCTCAACACTAAAAAGTAAACATCACAAATAGGTGAAAATGGTCAATTTTTTTTAGAATTACAAAGTTCACCACATTAAATTCTGTATTCGTTCTTTAAGCAACATTTATATAATTGAGTAAGATGAAGCCATTACACTCAAAATGTTTCAAGAATCATACCACTGTTGATAGTTTCTGTTGAGTTTCTTGAAAAAAACACTGTGTTTTGAAGAGGGCTGCAGAGAGGGACATCTAAAAAGGGTATGTTTTTTTCCATAAATCTTCATGTGACTGATGGGCCCTGACATAATGCATCACAATGAAATACAGCTGCCAAAAAAGAGCTTCAAATTAAGCCCTTTTCTAGAGAAAGAAAAAAAAAAAGTGATAAGAAAATAGGTACCTTTTCAGCAAAAGCTTTTAAAGCTTTAAAAGCACAGCAAGTTAAAAAGTTCTCTCAATTTTGTCTAAGTAACTAGAAGCTAAATGGGGGGAAAAGGGTGTGAAAAATAATGCTCCAGCCTCTGTGAGAACTGGAGACATACTGAACACAAGACACTGTTACACAGGAAGAAAAGATGATTTTAACGTCCTACTTTGTCATTTTCAAACACATGGAAGATTCACTTTCAAATTATTGGGAAATGTGTTACATTATGCTAATAATGCTAGTCTAAGAATGTTTTAAGCATAAACATGGACTTAGACATGGCAAAGTGGCCACATTCAGAAGCTGAAGTGAGTCACATTTAAATTGTTTCTTTTTGGCTATGCAGAGTTTCTTTTGTGCTATTGCTATAATTCCTAAATTCCCAAAGCAATTTGCTGCCCAAAAGCAATAGGCATTATGTAAATATTGTCTGTTGCAGGTCAGACCTTGACCTGAAAACCAGGTCTTCTCAGGAGTACTATAAAAATCTTTCATATGCAGCCTGATAGGAGCCATCCCACAAAGCCAAAAGCCCCTTTGTCAAGGATTCTTTCAGCACATTCACACCTAAGTTCCCGCTTTTGTTCTCTTTCAACCTCAACCTTCACAGAAAATCTGCTAAAAAATTGTTGTCTTCCAGTGGTAGGGACAGAAAATGAACTGCTGAAAGCAGAGCATGTTGCAGATGCTGGGGTTTGCAGACTGGGCATGGACTGAGGTTCAGGGACATAAGAGACAAAGGTGACAAGACACACAAAGGGAATTTAAGAAAACTCATGCAGGCTACCTCCAGCATCATATTTGTGCACGATTAGACTGGATGCAGCTGAACCTGACACCAAACTACTGCTTTATGCTAGGTGAGAACTTATGGCATCCAAGCTTCAATACCTCCAGATTAGAACATTTCTAATGGTTCTCCTCTTGGCTACATAAACTCCATGTCGATCTATCACAAAGCATGATCTAAAACACACATGAGCAGGTCCAAAAGGTGGACACAACATATTAGTTCACACATGTTAGCACAGGGAGAGTAGAGAAATGAACCTCTCATCATTTCTTTTCTATGTTTCAGGCCACCATTTCTTATTTCACATTTAGGGTGCAGGAAGAATTGATCTATTGTCCTCCATCTGTTATCAGACTCTTGCAATTAATCTGAGGAGATAACTGTGAAAGTGCTGCAGGTAGACTAAATCTCTTGATGTCAGGGAACCCCAGCACATTTTAAAAGCAATGTTACATTGACATAAAATACATATCACATGCAGCATGCAGCGGCTGACTTGCAAACAGAGATTGTGCCGACTGTGTGTCTTTATGCTTGAATTTGCTCTTGCATTTTGGTAGCATGTAGACAGCTGTACTTGCTGATTTGAAAGGGTTGAGCTGGGATTTCAGACTTCTTCTGAAGCACTCCACAGAACTGACTTCAGGTATTTCTTTAACCAAGAATTTCTGCAGTTTTCAGATGCTCCCAGCAAATGTTCAAAGCTCCCCTACACACCAGTCATGAACATTGTGTTGCCAGCATAAAGATGGGTTTTAGTCACTGAAGAGCATGCTGCCAGTGCTGTGTTCTGAGGCACAGCCTCTGCTTCCACAGGACTGTGCCATCCATCTGCACAAGGGAAAACATGCGGCCAGTCACTGCCTCTGGCGCCCGCGACAGTCTCACAAGGTGGGGTAATAGATCAGGTGTATCAGACTGTTATTGTTCCTGGCTGTATTTGTATTTGTTATGGACTATAAACCCTGATGATCCCATGAAGGGCTGTGACCATGAATCCCAATTGGCTGAGCAGTGCTATTTCATGGAGGGACAAGTCCGGCAGTAATGAATTCAGTCAACATAATGATTTCGGTTTCACTGCACTGCTCTGCTTCCTGGGAATCTGCAGAAGATGAGTGACTGTGTCACAATCATAAATTCAGGCACACACAATGCTGAAACTTCTTATAGAGCTTTAAGTCCCTGTGAAATGTCAGACTAATAAATATGATGATCGTATTTGCTATTTGGCAAAAGTATTAATTAACCTGGAAAAGTTAATAAAAATATATTCCCCAAAATTATGCAGCAGAGAAAATATTTTTTCTTATTCATGGTTATATGAATGCAAAATGCCATGGGTTCTTCATCTTTAATACCTAAGGGATTTTTAAGCATATTGCTTCCATAAAACTTGGTTCATCAGTACAGTACACAGCCCAGATATGCATATTTAATTACTCTGAAAGTAATTTACTTGTACAGATGGTGGCATTAGAAGGTCTTACTTCCATTTAAATTACTTCTATTTGAAAAATAATGTTATTTTGCTATGAATCTTGAGTGAAGAATTCACTCTTATTACAGATGAATAATACTTTTCAATTGTAATTAATCTGTGACTAATCTAATACTGCCTAGATAAACATTTTATCTCCAGTTTTACAAATCAAAGCATTCTCTTTCCAGAAGGTTGATCTAGTAGTATTTTATATCCAAACCTGTAGACTGGGGAGGGGACCCCAGTCTGCTCTTGGGGCACATGAATAAAAAGCCACAGAAGAATTTGTTGAACATCCCTGAGACTTCCCAAGGCAGAGATGTTACAAAATTGTTTGCATCTTTCTGTAAGATTAAGCAGGGATTAAAGCAAAAGGGTGCACTTCAGGAAAATAGCTATCAGGCATAAGATTTCAGGAAAACAGTGACTCAATGGTCATGTGTGGACTTTGGGGGAAGCTTTAATGGGCAAGGATCCAAAATATTCTGGTCAGCGAGCCCTCGCAGCAGTGCAGGTAGCAGGCCCACACCTTTGCCATTTCTGTACCCCCCTGCATCACCCAAACAACAGCAATTCCCAGGAGCAGGCAGGTAGCAGGGGCAGGGAAAGCTAGCAGCATATTGCATTACCTCTTACATGCTTCCTGGGAAATTATGTCTGCTTCTTCAGGTGAGATTGTTTTCTTGAGCAGCTCTGTAAAAGGTCTACATGTGTTTGTTAGGCTTTCTTCAGTGAGCCCCCATCTTCATTCAAGCAGTGGCTCTCTTGAAGGGGGCTGATGTGGTTGCCATGGTTAGTATTCATTTTTTATTGAAGACTAAATGGCCAGAACCCAGAACATAAAGGGATCTCAAGTAGCCCTAAAATGTGCTCTGCCTTTTCTTTCTGCCATCTTTCTTCAGGACAAAACAATTTTTGACAGTTGATCTGATTTTTCAGGCTTATCCAGAATAGGCATATTTGTCCCCTCTATCTACGTAACTTTAACATTGTGATCTGGATTTAATGCTGCAAACCCTGTGGACCTACTTCATAGAGCTGGAAAGCACCTAAACTTCCCAGAGAGATTTGGGGGAACTGGAGATGATGGGTGAGCTGACCCACAGTAAGACTGACATGTTTTTATCACTTTAAAATTAGGAGGAAGGGGTAGAGAGGGAGAAGAAGGGGAAATGTCATAATCTTGACCAGCAATGCTGTACAACCCCAGCTGGACTACACTGCCTGGAGTGCAGAGGTTTCGCCCAGGGAGGGCAATCAGGTGCCAGAAGAGAGAAAAGGAACAGGACACATCACTCCATGAATAAATCTGCTCCTGCTTTAGCAAAGGAGCTGTGGTGCTCTGTGTCTGGCATTCAGCTTGCTGACTGCTTTTCTTTTTAATTATCCTAATTAGGAAAAAACTTTACCTCCTTTGGCTTTCATATATTTACACTTACACAGAATTTCCAATAGCATCTATTTCCCAGGAAATCTAAGTACATTCGCTTTCACTGAGTTCAAAAAGCATCAAGGTCACATCTTTTCCATTTTGAATTTTTGTTCTTTCAAACCGTCTGTGGTTGCTGCATCTCCAAGCAGATACCCAGCATTCACATTATCCTAGCCACTGCTTCAGACTCCGGCTGCCAGGGCTGCACCAAGCTGTGCCCACAGACTTGCACCCTTGCATTCTTGTGCAAGAATGCTTGGAGCAGGGAAATGCTCCTGGGCTTCTCATTCCCAGCCCTTCAGCAATGCTTTGCTCCAAGGGATGTCTCACCAAGTGCTCTTTCTTCAAGGGAATGGGATCCCTACTTGTCCTCACCCCTTCCTAGGCAGGGTGACCCCACAGACTCCTGCCATCCCACTCCTCCAGCCACGCTGGCTGCAACCCTTCAAAGACCCCTGGAAGCCATGTGCCAAACTTCAGCAGTGGATCCAGGTGTGCCTGGTTAACAGGTGGTGCTGAACAAGCTGGGGAGGTCAAGGATAGCCTGTGTCTGTAGCTGGAGAGAGCAGAGGTTGCACATAATAGTCTTGTAGAAGCATAGGAATGAGAGAAGGTGAGTCAGGAATTTGGAGAAGATGGGGAGTACATAGATGCAAACTGTAGGATGGCTGTGGCTGAGCTGATCTCAATTACAGTATTTCTCAGTTTAAGTATGCCATTTTAAAGCATGGAAATTCAAGGCTCCAGTTTGTATTTTATGACACAGAGCCAAAAGCCCAAAACAGAAGAAGCATCTTAACAGTTCTGTTCCTTATTTTCATACAAATTCACACACTTGTAGTCATACGCATATAAAGTCAGCCTTAAACACAAGATCCATGGTAGGTTTTTCAACAAAATAATCCTTTAGACACTGATAAATCAAGCAACAATGACACTGGGATATCATAGCATCACTAAAAATGTCACCACAGTTAACAAGCCTGCTTGCTTCAACAAAAAATATTGGTGAATAATCATCCGTCAGTTAGCAACGCTAAAAAAAAACATGCCTGGTGTTCCTTGCCTAAAAATGATGGGAGTGGAAACATTGTTTTCTTGCCAGGTTATTTTCATTTCAGGAAGAGAAATAACCAGGGGAAACATGGAGAGAAGAATAAATAACAAGAAGCAGTATGAGGGGAAGAAATCCTTCATAATTATGCCATTGCCTCTGCCTTTCTCACTATCAGGTTCCTCCCTGTACCACACTGTGCCAAGCCACTCACATGCCGGGCATCCTCCAGATGAATCAACACAGTGGCACACAGCCTGGAGCGCACATCAGAGGCACAGAGGAGGTGTTTGATACTATTTTATGAACAAATCTGAGACAAGAGCTTGGTAGGGGTTTTTTTTGGAGGAGGAGGAGTAAGGAAAATAAGATTGTATGCCAGCTTGGGAGGCAAAACATCTCATTATCTTTTTAAAATCTGTATTAACCACAGACTCTGTTCTGCTTCATCCTCTAAGTGGTAAATCTAAACAGCACACATGCAATCTGTAGATTTGCTCCTTTACCCATCACTCAGAAAATATAACATGAAAGACTGCCTGCATTAATCCAGGCTCCTGCATCTGTCCTGACACTGCACACTGGGGCAGAGGGCCTGAACTGAGGCACTGTGCTGCCTGCAACACGTGGAGGGAGCCCCAGGTGCCACCAGGCAAGCATGGCCAAGTACCATCATCCCAGCCAAGCACAGAACTCCTCCCTAATATGGGAAAAACCTCACCATATTGGCAATCTCACCATAGTAATTTCTTATTTTGCTTTGCAAAGCAAAATCAACTGATTATGTTCACAAGCCACCAGGTATGACTACAAGCTATAACCTCCCAGTTGCCTGGCAACTTCCCTGAAACCAAACCACAAAGACTTCACTTTTGTTCAAAAGCATTGGTGATGAAACACAAAAGCTTTTTCCAAACTATGCTGATGAAACCTTAACAGCTCTTAAGACAAGTTTTCTCACCAATAAACATCCGCTCAACGGGAGATGACAGAAAAAGGACTTCTAGGGCCCAGCATCACAAGCTGACACAAAGAGAGAGCTCAAAGGCTCAAGTTCAAGGCCCAAGAACAGAATTAATCTACTGCATGTTCAGCCTCTTCTACCAAATGTTATCAGCACAATTGTGTTCTACTGGTGAAAAGAGGATGTCAGGCCAAAAACTTGATTGTGCCCCTTACCTTTTAAGAAGCAGAAGTAATCCCCATTCATAGGCAGGGCTGTGCACCCAGCTTCCTTCTGGCTGCAAAGTCTCCCCTGCAAACACACTTTTTTTTTTTCTTTTATTTTTCTTCATCTAAAATAGAATAACCAGATATGGCAACCATTAATCAAGCAAATAATAAACTTAGTATCAGCCAAGGGAGAAGACAGAAGCTGAGGAGAGGCAGACAAAACACTCCAGCACATCTCCAGTGGAATAAATGAGACTTTTCTGCAACTGAACTGTAGCTCATACAAGATCCTCACAAAGAATGAAAATTACCATGTTTCAAATATTCCACTGGTAAAAGAGTTTGATCAACAAGTCATCCGGCACATAGAATATTAGTATTTGCACATATATTGTCATGTGTATCAGAGACAGAAGTTTTTATGCTAAGGTGTGTGGGAGAGCTCCAGAGGTGGAATGAACACCTCCAGCTTGCCCTTTGTGGCTCTTGTTTCCCAGCCTACACCGTTGCAGCAACAGAGAGCTTGAAACAAAACCAGAGCCTCCCGCTAGGGTAAAGAGTGAAATGCAAACACTTTCCTATGCCAGACTGAAGAACATGACTAATAGACACTTTCCTTACATGAAAACATTTCCCAGTGCCCCAAATACATATTTTCCCAATTAAAGGCTGACATTAGACTTCAGAGATTGGCTGTGTGTTTTAGGGGATTTAAGGCCTGGGTGGACTTAAACATGGACATTGAAACAAAACTGACTGACTTTCTACATCAGACCACTGGTTGAGTGGGACATATCCCTTAAAAATCATGAAGTTTTGATAGGCATTCCACCAGTCTCAAAAGGCATCCTTTTCTGTGCCTACCTACCTTCACTCCCAAAAACATGTACTCAAGTTGTAATTTTCCTGATTTTAACCTAAATTATCTGGGGGGGTTATATGCATTTTTGCTTCATCCTCAGCCATGTTACAAGTCTTCAGGTAGTGGTCATCTTTACTGTATCTAGTTATTTATGCATCCAGTTCCTTGCTGTTAGTTTATCATATTTTTACTATAGATTCAAGTATGTTCTATCCAGTCTCCTCACAGGAGGGGGGGAAGTGGTGCAGGTGCATGGGCTTAGTTAAAAAACTCACTCAAACTCCAACACTGTCAGTGATATGAAAATGAATTGTTAGATAAAAGATGTTTTCCCCCTTGTGTTTCTCGAATGATTCAAAAGGCTTACAGCAAGAGAAGGATGCAAATTTCAGGAGGAGTAAATGGCTGTGTGGATCAGGTAATGGATGTGTTTGGGCATGTATGCAGGGGGGCACCTGGGGGTGTATTTGCCTTGTTTGTGTATACATGGACTTTCTGAATGCCATAGTACTATGGACAAACTGTACAAGCCCTAAACAAACTTTGAAAGCTTAAAATGCAGTAAATTATGGGGTTTGTAAAAACAGAAAATAATCAGTAATGGTAACTAAGATTGATTTTATACTTTAATTGAGTGCTCTACCCCAAAAGAAGTTTTCACTAAAAAAATCACCTGATGTTTACTGGATTATTTATTGTACCTTTATCTATATTACAGATGTCTGTATAAAAAATGAGCTATTATTTTTAGATCTTATAAATACATACATTAAATCATGAATCACACACAGGTCTGTATGCAGCATGTCTCTGTGACAGTCACTATTTTTCTTGTACAAAATGTCTGTAAGATGCCTAGCCGGAGACTGCTTTTGCTGGCTAAAAAATAATCAGTTGCAGAAAGCTCAAACTTCTGTCAGCTGTATGAAATGAGAAGGCAGAAGGCTATGCCCCTCAGTATTTTTATTACATGGATCAGGAAAACAAATTTCAAGAATTAACAGTGCAAATTTTTAAATATGCCAGAGCATGGCAATTCTAAGCACTGTTACAAGTTACAGCAAGGGAAAGGTGTTGCTTTCAGATTTGGAAATGCCTGCTACAGCCTAACCTCTTTGTCAACATGTCTGCAGTTTTGCAACATCCATTTCTAAGTGAATTACCTTATGAAGGAAACCAAAAAGCAGAAAACTAAAGAAATAGGGGTCAAATTCCTTCTGTGAGATCTACCTTGTAAAATTATCCAGAATGTAATAATACCATGTTATTGACTTAAGCACAGTTCCCTGTGACATGCTGCAGCTGACCTGTAATTTTTATCCTACATGTTGCCAGCACTATTAAAATGACACTTGTGAATGTAAATTAAGCTCACAAAGGGGACAGATTGTATGATTCTGGTTTCTCTCAGATGCCTGTAGGCTATCACAGGTTCCATATGTGAAGTAATTATGTTCACTGAAGGAAAGAATAAATGCTGTCAAATTGTGTACTGAGAGAGAAAGCAGCTATTATATTGCAGTAGTCACTGGAGCATTGCCTTAGAAAGTGAAAAGATGTATAAGAAAATAATAAAAAAGAAAAACTGGAGCAGAGCTATATTAAATATAACCTTTAAATGAGTATCTGCTTTTGAATACATATTACACAAAGCTAATATCTCACAAATAAAAGCATTTTACCTTTTTAATCACATTTTCTTTCTCACATCTAGAGAGCACAGGGCAGAACATTTATTGGAGGGGTAAAGGACAGGTGGAGCATCTTTCAGCTTTCTGTGCTTCCTCAAGAAGAAGAGCCCTCCAAGGCCCCAGAGATGCTGTCCCCACCTCCTTCCCCACCACAAACCTCCTCCTGTAGGAGCTGTGCAGTGGCCAGCCTTCCTCCCCAGCAGGCAGATGTGTCCCAGCCCTGCCTTCCCACCCATCCATCTCTTCTGGCCAGCTCCAAACCTCTGCCTGCCACAGGCCTGAGCGAGGTGCTAAGGTGGGGCAGGAGCACTTCTGAAGACAGCAGCACCAAACCCTGGCTGCACAGCCTGCAGCAGGCTTGGAGGAGGTGAGGCTTCTACCATGGAAGCCAACATAGCTGCCAAAAGGAAAGGCAACACTCCCATCACCTCCACAGCTGCAGTGTGGTCCTGCTCTCCTGCACCTGGGGAGGTGAGCCTGTATTTAGACCAGTGGGGTCACCAGTGAACCAGCACAAGAGGGGAGAGAATACTAAGCTGGGAAAATAGCTTTTTTAAGCCTTTCATTTAGAGGGAACCAAGGACACCAGAAGCAGGGAAAACTGAGTGCTTGTGTGGGTTTGGATTTTCATCCAGAAATGAAACAAGGAAAGAAAGGAAGTTAGGATGCTCTAGAAACAAAACACAAACAGGAAGGCACATCTTCTTACAGGGGTGTAACTATGGATTTAGAGGTCATGAAGGAGCCCAGAACACAGAAAAACAGAAGACTGAATTCTTCCCTATGTTTTTACTGCTTAATAGGGTAGCATCACGAAGTTTGGCACTCTGGAGCTTGAGTGCCAAACTTTGTGATGCCCCCTTCCATGGCAATGGAAAGGGGGTATTTCTGCAGTGTCCCACTAGTGCTAGTTCTGCATCTCTGCAGCCTCAAGCCTAATGTCCTGTAAGAAGTAACCAAGGGTGAGTAACTTCCCAACACAGCTGCCCTCCACCCTGCCCAGCCTGTGCTGTTGTTACCTGCATGCCTGTCACTAACCTGGCTGCCTTACCAGCAGCCCATGCTCAGGCTACAACTGGCTGCTGTGCAGTGCTGAGGAGCAGAGCTGGCTGGAGATGGCACAGCACAAATATTGGCAACTCACCGAACGTCCTCGGTGCTCAGAGAGTGGCCTGTCTGTGGCTGAGTTTGTCTGTGCTCACCTGATACCCAAAAGCTGGTATGTCCAGGAGACCAAACCTTTCACACTGCTCTCTGATGTGAAGGCAGCTTTTGGGGAAGCAAGGCACCTGATGGAGCAGAGGAGATGCCTGGAATCTCTCAAGTCCTCCTCCCTCTCCCAAAGCCACTATCAGCTCCTGGACAACATGGTATGAAAGCAGTCACATTAGGTCTACAGGGTCCTTTTCTAAACAGGTCATTTTCCTGGTTGTCACCATAAGGTAATTTGGGTAACTAACTTATATCCAAGGACCTGTCCTGATTCTGGACAAACATTTTACAGGAAACGTGATGATCTGCCTCAACCAACAGCTCTCCCTTGAGTCCCTGGTCAGGGCTTCACTACCCATCAAATTCTCATGTTCATGGGAGCAGTAACAAGATATTAGGTAATGGCATGGGTTTGTCTCATCAAAGCCACAGCTTGCAGCAAACCATTCTGTGTGTACAACATCACATTTCTGGAAAATTAGAAACTGTGGCACTTTTTTTTTTTTTTTCAGTTTCTTAGGATAAAAAATCTGACACTCAGCTTTTGCAGTCTCTCCATGGAAGCCATTTTACTAACTGCATATTGCATTTAGTGGAGTTGTTCAGCACAGAGGAATACTCTGCACTGAACATTCTGCAATTGTCCTTGGTTGTTTCTGGGCACACACACCTCCATTACTGAAGGAAAGGGCCACCAGGCTGCCCCACACACTGCTGCCATCAGACACAGCACAGCTCACATGTCTCTACCTAAACTCTCTCTATATGTTAAAATATGAGGCTTACACCTGAACTGCCCATCAGGACCAGGGCCTGGCACATCCTGTCACTGTCCTCTGTGTGCCCAGGAGCAGGATAACAGCCTACCCCAGCCCTGCTCTGTGTTCACCTTGACTGAAAGGGCTCCCAAATCACTTGGGTTTCTCTACACCCACACTGTGAAGAAAGAAAACATGATCCCATGTCCTTATTTTGGCAATTGCTTTTCCACTTCTGTTTCACTTCCTGGCCAGCTACCTCACTCATACCAACACCCTCCTCTGCAGCACCAAACCTCAGGGATCCTCAGCAAAACCAGCTGCCTCTTTGTTCGAGGCCATCTTGGTAACAAAAGGGCTGCAGCAAAGCCCAGAGAAGTGTCCAGATGCAGATATCAACGCAAACTCTTCCATCCCATGCACCAGACCCACCTCATGGCTCACTACTGTGAGCAGTGGCTAAGAGACAAGAGGAGACCTCCCTGAGCAGAGCACAGCTTGAGCACCAGCACAGGGCTGTGGGAGGAAGTCCCAGCCATACCCCCAGGACAGTCATCTCACGGTGTGTAGGGGCACAGAGCCCTGTGGCCCCCCATGCT